ATGGTATTCGAACTGTTTTTTGAACTGTAAACTAGTGAGGGTGTAGCCAGGTCAGCTCTGGAAACTAAGGCCTGTGTGAGCTTGGTGCTTTGTTACCTGGGATATTAAAGATCATATTGGTGTTAAGATATTAATGCAATTAATTCTTCATGGAGAGTCTATCATTTGAAACCCTGGACGAAGTGCTATCTCCCCGCTTTTCAAGGTCTGTGTGTTGTCAGTTACTGAGCACAGTAACTAACAGCCCAAGCTTAAACAGGCACTCATTGTCCTAAAGGGTCAATGCTGATTTCTTCATTAGGGTTTTTTTCTTTTGTTGAAGCACTGGATACTTAGTCTCTGTTGACCACCTGTTTGCTACCAGAACCATATATGAACACCTAGCTCAGCTTACTTAGGCTTGGTAGTCTCAGTTTTGCTTACTTAACTGCTTATTCTAGAAATGCCTTCATAAACATCTCATTCCCACAGTTGGGCCCAGCATGGTTTTCTCTCTATTCTTATTTTTTCATAAGACTGAAGCTGCAATAATAGATTAGATTGCTCTAATTTAGATGATTGTTCTAGGTTTTTATGCCCATGAGCTTTCCATGCTCTGGAAGAGTGTGGCTTTCTGGTTTTGTTTCCCATACTGGACTTATATTCTTTCTCAATGAGAAGTAGTTGATTGCTTTGAATCCTATAGTTGATTTCCACTAGATCATTGAGAAAAGGTATCATATGACCTGCTCTCTGTCTACTAGACTTCATGTCTCACTCTTCAGTGCCCCTGTCTGTGTGTTTGAACTTTAGGTGACTCAGTTTTCAATACATAGTTAGAGAGTTCTGTGCACTCTCCATTCTAGATATTTCTGTAAATAGTCACTTGTTTTTGTATGTTTTGGAAACTGCAGACAGCATAGGAAGTAGTTTATCACAGGTCTTTTCAATGAGAGCATAGTTAATGCTAATTGACAGGTGACTCCTCACGTGTAGACGCTCATTGACTACTAGACACCTTTGCTAAGGCCGTTTAAATGGCTCACTTGTGATTCCAATCTAGTGTTCTCTAGTATAAGATAACGGTGACTGTCTTGTTTAAAAAACAACACAAAAGTTGACTATAAGAAGAAAGTGCCCTTTTGTGTAAAATGAACATGTGGCCAAGTGCAGTCTTGGGACTTAACTGAAGATGACCATGTGTCAAAAGAGGGTGGCCTTCTGCTTTTTCTGCTTTTACTCCTTTTGACCCCTGCATTTGTTTCTGTTACATGTGAAGATATGATAGGCTGTCTGGACTAGAGCGTTATGAAGTATTAACTGTGTCTTGTGAAAAAAAAAAAATAAACATGAGCCGGCTGTGTTGGTGCACACCTTTAATCCCAGCCTTCGGGGAGGCAGAAGCAGGTGGATCTCTGTGAGTTCGAGGCCAGCCTGGTCTACAAAGTGAGTCCAGGACAGTCACGGCTATGCAGAGAAACGCTGTCTAGGGGGACAAATGTAGCTGCAGATTCAGTGAGTTTCATTTTAAAAGGATATTTTTCCCACTGTAGTGTGAATTTCATAGATTACGTTTTAGGATTAAAAAATGCAATGTAAACAGCATTTATCCTTAGTTCAGGAAGCAGGTTTCTTCTTTTTAAAAAATCTACCCAGGAGTTGGAAAGATGGCTCAGAGGTTAGGAGCACTGGCTGCTCTTCCAAAGATCCTGAGTTCAATTCCCAGCAACCACATTGTGTCTTACAACCATCTATAATGAAATCTGGTGCCCTCTTACCGCATGCAGGCAGAACACTGTATACATAACAAATAAATAAATCTTAAAACAACAACAACAACTAACTTTATTAAAAAAAGCAATCTGCCCAGGTGGCACTTCCTGTACCTGTGCAAAGTGTATCATGGTGTGGATGGAGAAGATCAGTCACCACCTCTCACCTTGTTGTGCCTGCTGTCAGCTCACAAGATGCCCCTATCTCTACTTTCCATCTTATGCAAAGAATGCTGGAGTTGGAAACTCATGCTATAATTTCCAGATTTTATGTACTGAGATCTTTATTCCATTCCTCCTCCTGCTTTTGTAGCCAGTGATCTTGACCGTTGATTGAACACTTCCCCAACCTGGGAGTTCTTTTTAATTAAATAGATTCCCAGCAGCTGTCCATATATTGTATGCATAGAAACCATAGTGTTGATAAACGCAAATAAGTAAGTGTATTGCACCTATTGATGCTTTAAGAATTTAATTGATTTACCAGGCACGGTGTATGATGGGTCACACCTTTAATCCCAGGGCTCATCAGGCTGAGGCAGGTGGATCTCTGTGAGTTCAAAATTCCAAACCTTGAGGGAAAAAATGATTTGATTTTGTTAAACTGGGGCTTAAATTTACTTTTGATTAGTTGTTAAACAACCTGGAACATATATTTCATTCAGGGAGTTTCCTCCTGAGCTAGTCTAATCACATTAAGATCTTCATGTTTTCTTTGCTTAAAGTTTACAAATGGGTTTTTATAAACAGGGTATTATTTAGTCTTAAAATAATAAATATTCTGTGCCATTTAAAGGTATGTTTAGAGTTAAAAGGTATAATAAGCCCACCTTGTTAAAGAGATGCTGTTTCCACAGTGTATCTTGGCTTCACAAAGTCAGATTGGCATTCATGTGGTCCTAGTGAGCAGCTTGACCATAGATGAATGATCATGGCTCATGGGTTTCAGAGCTTACCTCCCACTCAGAATTGAGCTAGTTGAACATGCTGTGTATTTCTGAGCCCTAGCTCAGTGGGGACTGCATTGTCTCTATATGTATGCCATATTCTGGTTGCCTTTGAGAGTATGATTGATGCCATTTGGTAAGATAGCATTGTGGATAAGCTGTTGTGATGGCCTCTGCTGCTCATGCAGGTTAGTAACATGGGTCAAGGCTTGTAGTAGAATGTGACCTCCTAGTGCTGAGTTTTTCCTACTGGTCTCATTTATCGACTCTGTCCTGCACTTCTGGTAGTCATCAGAGGTTAGTATTTTAATATTTGTGAGTACATAGCCCTGTCCATAGGAATGGTTTTCTCATAAGCCAGCTTCATATTGAAGTGAGGAATATAATACTGAAGAAGGAAGATGAACATATATTTAACCAGGCCCTTTACCTATTGTCTAGCAAGTCTCTGTAAATGGAACCCCTCCCCCATGCCCTGCCTTTGTTCTTATGTTTTTAAACTAATGGGAAGAAGTGTGTTATGTCATAGAAATCAAGCTAATTAGCTATACTCAAAAGATTTGAATTAAAAGCTTAGATCCTCCTTACTATCCTATGGATGGCACCTGTGAGCCACCCACATTTTACATCTCTTGTCTGCTTATCCCTAACTTGTATGCACTCCATATTGTCCAAATTGTAAAGAAATAACTGACTTTCCTCCACAAACCAGGAAAGTTGTGAGGTGTGGCTGTAGCTTCCTATGTTTGTCAAGTCTCAGGCCTGTTGTCATTCCTAGCACCCCTCAGCAAGTTCACTCCTGAGCAAGCAGAGGAAGTTGGTCAGACCGTACTGCGGCAGCCTTTTCGGTGCTGGTTTGTTTTTGTTTTTTTAAGCCTGCACTTTTTTTTTTTAAGATTTATTTATTCATTATGTATACATTATTTTGCCTGCACGTGTACACGTGCAAACCAGAAGAGGGCACCAGATCTTATTTCAGGTGGTTGTGAGCCACCATGTGGTTGCTGGGAATTGAACTCAGGACCTTTGGAAGAACAGTCAGTGCTCTTAACCTCTGAGCCCTCTCACTTCTAATCAACACACAGTGATACAAGTAGGTGTAAGTCTAATTTTCCTCACCAGAGGAGCAGGCCATCGGCACTGCTCTCTGTGAATCACGGCGGCCGTGGTGCAGTTCCTCTGGATCATGTCTGCCAGCATTGTCCTTTACCTTCACATCCACGTCGACCAAGTGTGGTAGGCAACGGCTGTGCATATACAAAAGATGTTGCAGGACAGTTAACACAAGCCATATGTTAAATGTACCTTTATTCTAAGTAGATGTCAACTTATATTTTTAAACCTGATCAGTGTACAATATGTCAAACCCTGCCAGCCCATCACCTCTCTCAAAAGGACCAAAAGCAGAGAATCCTTTTTTTTCTTCCAATTTTGTTTTGCTTTTCATTTTTAAAAATGTGCTTCAGGGGAAAAGAAGACTAATATTTAGCACACAACAATTACTGTGAAATGTAAGTTGCAGTGTCCACAAATAAAGTTTTATTGGAGCCCAGCCACATTCATTTCTTTTCATTTACTGTTTTACACCACATGGTAACACTGAGTAGCTGTGACAGACTGTATGGCTGGCAGAACCTCAAATATTTACTGTCTGGCATTTAAGAGAAGTTTTGTGACCTCTTTTTAAATTGTGAGAGTTGATTTATGCTTATATATACTTAAGTCATATTTTAGCATGTCTCTTTTCCTACACTACCCTATTCAGTAAGAGACTGTGGCATTGTAAGAACTATGTTCTAGCCTCCTAGTTTTGTACATATCCAGATCTTGTATTATATAACATATGCAGACTTGAGCACTGTATTATGAGATTCTGAGTTGTAGGGAGCAAGGCATGGAGAGATCAGATAGAGCTAGAGGAGAGGACTGAAGCTCCTCCTTGCTTTCTGCTTTTAAATTGTGCCTTTTTCCAATAATCTTACACCTAGAGTCTCAAATTTTTCTATTTTTTTTTTTTCTGGTTAAGGAGATTAAAGGAAGTAAGTTTTATTACTTGCAGTGTTGAAGGCCTTTGTGAGTCTTTTCCTTTTTGACAAGATGTTATCCTATAGAAAAATAGCACTAGCTATGTTTTGATTGTATACATCATTTTGCTACCTTTGGAAGCAATTGTGTTAATACTGCAAAGCAATAAGAACCTTTGTTTCACATCTTTAATAAATTCAAATGTGTTTTACAACATTGTTTACATTTTGTTTTAGTACATTCTTACTGAGAAATAATTAACTCTGCTTTGTTTTAGGGTTCTGTCCTGTGTTGTGGCCTCATGGTTTAAGTGGGAATAAAGATGAGCATAAGCAGCGATGAGGTCAACTTCTTGGTGTACAGGTACTTGCAAGAGTCAGGTGAGTACTTCTGTAAAGTAGCAGGCCTCAAGTTCTTGTGCTGTTCCCGAAATAACCTTTATGCATTGGAAATTTGTACCAGTCCAAACTGTTGAGTTTTGTCTGTTTTTGAATGTCTGGACTACCACTTTAAAGCTGTTTTTACTGCATGGTTTAACTCTCTGATTCTTTCAAATATGCTGGGATCATCTCGGGCAAAGAGATATAACCAGCCGTTTGTCTTTTGATGTTTAGGGGTCATTTTTAATAAGTAAGGTGTTACGAAGTGACGATGCATATGTTTAGTAAGAACTCAGATTCATCAGCTTGGTAATTATTGCATGTGCATAGTTAGTTGTTATTCCTTCTTAAAGTAAGAATCTTAAAAGCTATATTAACTATTTTTCAGAATATTTTCATAAGCTTTATTCCCAATTTATTAAATATATTCTGTTCTGAATTGTGATTGATATATTGGGACAGTTATTAATATAGATCATTGAATATGGTTTGCAATTAATATTGAGATTATTGCTCATCAAAGTTTTCTAGATAAAGAGCTCTAGTCATAAAATAGAAGTAATACTGCAAGTAAAAATGTTGCTGGAACAGGCAAAAGATGTAAATACCACTATTCCTCTCTGAGTAGCTAGGAAGATGATGTCTGATCAGAAAGAGGAGGGAAAGAGAGCTCAGTGACTAGAGTAACCAACCATGGGGAGAGGAAGAGAGAGACTATAGTGATCTACCACTTTGGCGAACAGACAGGAAAAAAAGGCCAGGAGTAACCAACTGTGGGGGGTGGGAGAAACTGAGACTAATACACAGGGAGGGAGCAGTGAAAGAGGGAGAGGAAGCAACCACAGGGAGGGAGAGAGAGCTCTGAGCCCAGAGTAACCACCCAACAGAGAATAATCTGTTGAGAAGCTTTAGAATCTGTTTCTACTGGGAAAGGCAGATCCAATAGGAGGTGTCCAGGGACTGTTTAAGATGATTAATAAAAGTAAGAAAATAGTAGCTTCATGACTCAGTATAGCCTGTGAAAGTATTTATAAGTTATTATGTGACACTTTGCCCCACATGGAAAAGGTTTGTTGTGTGGACACAGTTGCTTTCTCTTCTTGAATGTCAAACCCCAGCTTTGAAGCTTTTGGACAAGCAGAGAGAAAGCAGTGCGAAGGATGAGGATTTGTTACGAGGTCTCCTTAGATGTGCTAGAAAGGCAACTATTTATACTGACATTACTGTTTGAGGACATCAGAAACAGCCAGCCACCTCAGAGCACCTGTGATTCATCCATTGCCCAGGTGAGGCAGGCGGGTTGCCTTACAGTGCTCCTGCTTGCTCAGATTCTCCTGTCCAAACAGTTCTACAAACTGCTGCTTATACTCCTAACAAGAAAATAATTGGAAAAGGGAGGAGGTAGTGAAATACCAATTTGTTTAAAGCCTCATAAAGTTACCTGTGTTCTCAGTGAAAATGTGAACACATTTTGGATGGTGTAGCTTACAGTGAAGGTAAAGCCAGAGAGCAGGCATGATGGTACCTCTCTATGGCCCAGTGCTTAGGAGGCGTAGGTTCAGAGTTAGTGTCAATCCAGCTACAGATATATAAGACCCCAACCCACCAAAACAAAAAAACTAAGGCAGCAATTATATTTTTAATAATAAGAATAATCAGCTGAGATCATCTTAGTTTATATAACTAGTGTTTATTTAATTAGCGTCCATTGTAATACTAAGTGAGGTTATGTTTTAGCATTACACTATCATTGTACTGGTATTGAAAAATCAGTAAATAACATGTGTAAAAGTGAAAAGAGTATCTTTGTAAATATTGTAACATCATGACAGGAGAAAATTGGTTTACTTGATGATGTTTTAACTGAGGATATTTGTGTTCTGGCAGTGCACCTTGCCATAAATGCAATCATACCTCCTGACTCAGAGCTTGTGTCTGGTATTGTCTTTGGCTGCTTACATTAGAATCACCTGGTAAGCAGCAGGCAGCCCAAGTTACTTAGGACAAAGTTTAAAGGTCAATGCTTTGTGTCAGTCATAGAATAGTTAAAAATGAACAGGAATGGCTGACAAGATGGCTCAGTGCCTATAAAGACCCTTGCTTTGAAGCCTGAAGACCTGATTTTGACCCCTGGAACCCATGTAAAGGTGGAAAGAGAGACCAAAGTCCATGACCTTCTCTACCTCTACACACATCCCACTAACAATAATAATGATAACAACAACAAATAAAACTTAGAATCGTTGTGCTTTTTAGAAAAGAGAAAGAATAAAGTGCACATCCTGAAAGAAAACTTTTAATTAATGACGTGAGTTTAGAGTGAACAGCCCGAAAGATGCACATGCTGAGCTATGTGGAGCGAGCTGTGTTTCCTGAGAACCATCACAGACAGTACTGAGCGTGCAGACAAAGGTCAAACGAGCAGTGAGGGGTGCTTTGGTATATAAGTTGTCACCAGACACTGCTTTTAAAATTCTTCCAGATGGAGAAGACAGTAGAGTTGAAGGATGTTACAGTTCTGTGAACTCAACACAAGGATCTGGAACCTAGTTACCCCAGCCACAGCAGACTCCACTTGCCCTAGATCTGAGCACTTAGCTTGTGTTCAGAAAGCTCAGTCTTGGTTATACATGGTTGTAGTCCTCTCTGGAACCGTGTGGTTCACTTGATTTCAGGGGTGCTTGTGGCAATCAGTTAAATAAAGCAATATGATATAAGTTTCTTGTGTCGTAACAGTTTCTCTTGAAATGCCTAACAACACAAAAGTCTTCCTAACTCCTGACCATATCTCCCTGTAAAATAAGGAGACAGATAGAAAGGAGTCCTGGGATGACAGAGAGGCTTAAAGAACTAGTCCGTGACATGACTGGGCTAGAGTAAAGGGTCTCATTGTGGCTCTCAGATGAAAAATGCCTTAGAAAGCTTTTTTTGTGTTTTGATAAATAGTTGGTTTAGAAGTAACATTTTTCAGTGAGAACTTGTAATATCTGTTCCTTGAATACTGTGATTAATGTTGACTAGATTGTGGTACCCTTATCTAGATAGAATGAAGCTATTTTAGTCATGAGCCTCCAGATGACTAACTTCGGAGGTGGGTTTGCTTGTTGAAAAGAGATGGTGTTGTGAAAGCTTTAAATATTCAGTTGGCCTTGACTTTCCAAATTGACTGTCTCTCACAGGCCAAAATGAAGACAAAAATATTATTTATCATTGGGCTTTTATTAAGTATTGTAACTTGTGCTTCTCAATTTTTTTCTCAGTTAAGTTCTTAATAAGAAACTTGCTGAAGAACTCAGCATTCAGCATTTTTAGGAAGCCAACCCAATGTACAAATACCTCTTAGGAAAAGTTTTTTTGTCCTTTTGAGGTAACTTAAAAATTCTAAGTATTTGTTACATGTAAGTAAGGAGTAACTTGAACCAGTGTTCCTCCTCGAGTTAGTGTTTGCCCCAGGGTGTGGATTTGTTTGCCCTGACTTACCTGGCAGCCTGTGTAGTAGGTACTCAGTGGTCCGTGGTGAGTTGTGTAATTGAACCCGACATAGTATTCACTATGGCTAAACTGCTTTGAATCTTTCTTACCCCCGCCATCCACATTCGATTTTGTTTATTAGGTAAGGGTGTTAAATACATTTTCTGGTAATTTCTTGTGAACTTTCTGGTATTTGTACTTCTAGCTGCTTTGTTCCAGAATTTAAAATTTCAGTTGAGCAGTGGTGTTACATGCCTTTAATTCTAGCACTTGGGAGGCAGATGCAGATGGACCTTTGAGTTGAAGACCTGCCAGGGCTATACAGAAAAACCTTGTCTTAATAACGAGGGAGGGAGATAAATTTTCATTTTGATTCCTTTGGTTGGAGAAGTCTTCACAGATTTGCGTGTCATTGCACATGTACAAGAACATGGTAACATCCATATTGATGGTGAACTTAGCTCTTAAAAGTCAAAACGTGCATTTTTATGATTGACTAAGTAGAAATCACAAAGATCAAAGTGTGCTTACTACTTCTAAAGCCATCAGACCACCAGATTATGATGCTGGAAAGGAAGAAAGCCCATGTTTTTCAGAATTGAGAACATGGTGCACTCAGTCTTAACTTCTCTAACCTCTTTGAAAGGTGTCGGGTCTCCTGGATAGAGGCCTAGCACCTTACCATTTTTGTGGTATATAGTCTTATCAAAATGATGTAGAAAGTGGCCACTCCTAATCCAAAAATTTGAAATCCAAAATGCTTCCGAATGTAATATCATGTAATAACTAATTTAATGCAATACAAGAGTCCTCATCTGTGTTATGTCAAAATGCAGGCACGCTCTAATGTTACAGATGCCTCCAGATGCGCTGTAACAGGTGATGTACACCGTTTGCTGTCACATGGCGTCATCCCCAGGAAACAGTCTCATTTTAACGAGGCAGAAGAACATATGGCCATTTCAGACTTGGAATACTTGGCCTGTGTTTTAGTTATAAGATCACACATCAAACCCTGTGTTACTGTTTCTAACTTAGAAAATGTGATCATAATAAGCACAACTGGAAAACGTTCTTAAGCTTCTGTGCCACCAGGTGCAGTTCATTTATTTCTCTTTGACAGTTTTCTGTTAACCTCAGTAGTGTTAATAAAATGTCAGTAACCAAATGACAGCACAGTTTCTGTTGACTCATATAAGGATAATTAGATAGGTAATCTTCCCTTCCCGTACTAGCCATAAAAAACAGGACAGAAGGGAGCTCAGGTTGGGGCTAGCTTCAGTTTCCCTTTTTTTTTTTTTTTTTTTTATTTAAATGAGAAGTGCAAGTCAGTTTGTGTTTCTTTATAATAAAGTGTATAATAAATTAAAAATTAGGGGTGACCTAATTAAAGGCTATTAATACTTTCAAATCAGTTTTTCTTATTTTGTAAGTGGAATGACCGCTTTGTATGAAATAAGTTTGTATTTCTCATTTCTAGTGATAATGAAGTCCATTGGAATAGTTGCCAGAGTACTTGCTCAGTCTTAATCTTACTGTCTTTTTGTTATTTTTTAACAAAAGTATAAAGAGGTATATATATGTTGCTAGTGGCAATGTATATATATTTATGTATATATATGCATTTACATATGTATTTACAACTATGTATTTACATAGTTTTTTGGAAAACAGTATGATGGTCATAATGATATCTTTTAAACCCCCCCCCCCCCAAAAGCATGAGCGTGCACACAGACACACACACATCTTTTAGGAAAACTTTACTAAGGAGGAGAACGAACTTAATGTATTACAAAAGCCACACACACACACACACACACACACACACACACAGACACTCAAGGTAAGAATCTTCATAGCAGTGAACATTGTCAAAGCCTAGGTGTCAGGCTGAGTCATGAATAATTCCTGGTCTCAATGTTGTGATCCTGGTTAAATAGTTCAAGTTCAAAGGGTCTAATGTCCATATGAACTCTAAAGTAGTTAGTAGATTTTTTTTCAGCTTTATCTGTATCTATCTATCTATCTATCTATCTATCTATCTATCTATCTATCTATCTATCTGTCTGTCTATCTATCATCTATCTCCCCCACCCAGCTATCATCTAGCTAGCTAGTTAGCTATCATCTGTCTTGTCTGTCTATCTATCTATCTATCTATCTATCTATCTATCTATCTATCTATCTATCTATCTATCTAATCTATCACCTGTTTGAGGGTGTGGAGAATGCTGGGGATCAAACAAGCCAGACCCTGGTGTGCAGGTTCCCTAGAAAAAAAAAGCTTACTCCCCAGTCCTGGACTTAAGTTTTAAAAGCAAAATTTAGGGCATAGAATGTTGGGTTTAGTGTGTGAGTATTGTCGGTTTGTAGCTCTGTAGGATTGAACACACTTTGTTACACCTTTACATTTTTTCTTTTCTAAAAGCTGGGTCTAGAAGGCACAGCAAAAGGAATCTGGGTAGTGTAAATAAATGGCAGTTTCTGAGCATTTCTTGTCTGAAGCTTAAACAGGAACTTAAATAAATCAGCTTCATTTCCCTATTAGGACACTGCTGTGTTCATTTACATGTTACCTTAAGGGGGGGAGAAGTAGGTTGCTTATCCAAGTGCCCTATTGCCTAGCCATGATATTCAAGAACCTTTGTTTTGTTTTGCTTTTAAAATTCCTGTCTTTTTGTGTTTGCAAAGTAAAGTTACCAGACTCTGGAGGACTCATTATCCTTTTAAAGTCCAGCTCTTCCATGGAAAACACTTGCTTATCCAAGCAGTGGGGAAAACAGGAACTTTGTGACTCACTGTGTAACTGAGGCACGAGTAGAGTGCATCTGCCTCCTGCCACTGTCCTATGGCCAGCTGGCATGTGACTTCCTGGTTTCCACCTCAGACCTCTTCAGGGCTCCTCTGCCTCACACTGCACTCACTCGTACTTACCCTACATGCATTATCGAGGTGCTGCTTACGTCACACTCACGTTTACTTGTGAAAAGAGTGCTGTTTTTAATCAGCCAGATTTCAACAGTTTGCAGATTTAAGCAATCCCCTTTGCTCCTGTGTAAATCTAAAGTTGAGTCAGCATTTTCTTCAAATAAATGGGAATTTAAGGGGGGGTGTAAACCTGGTTCAAACTTCAGTTGTTTTTTAACAAGACTATGGCTTTTCTAAAGTGACAGATTTTTACATTTTCCAAAATGTGTTGTGGTGGAATAGATTCTGATTTAACAGATGATTTCACAGGCAGCTTACTAGTTTCCCAGAGTTAAAGGATTGCTGCGTTGAAGCTGCTTCTTGGGTTGCCACATCAAGCAGTCAGTGTGACTGTTTGGTTTGGTGTTCACCATTCATATGTAACTTCTAAGACCACAGGAGAAACTGATTCTGCTGGGAGAGTGAGATGACAGTTCCGTTCAAGTGAGGACAAAGATGCCTGTGAGGCTCACAGGCGTGGACTGGTGGAGAATGGTGAAGCCGCCAGCTGCCATTAGTGTGTGCACTGGGGACAGGGCTGCCCTAAGGAGTTAGGCGAAGATGAAGGGAGAAAGGTATGACTAAGTTCCAGAAATGGCTGTCTATGTCATAGTACTGAGGGGATTACCAAGAGGGTTTGTTTTGTGGTACTGTTAGTTTTAAGTTGATGAGTAGTCAGCTAACTGAAGGGAGGGAGGGACAGATTTAAGGCAGGAACAGCCCAAGCAGAAATTGAGGGAGACTTGATTCTAGATGACAAGGACAGGTGCAAAGAGAGAGGCTTAAGAGTTTTGGAGGTAGGGTGCTTTGACCTGATGGTGCTTGAATAGGCCAAAGGGGAAATGGGAGTTAGTATAACTGACCTTGTAGTGTCATGAAATGGGACTGGACATTGCGAAGGAAAGAAGTTTCCAGCAGGGAAGGAAAAGTAGCTTTGAACAGACCAACAGTGAGCAGCCTTGTGTATGTGAATACAAGCAACTGCACTTCAACGCCTAGTCAGATGTGTGCACGTAGGTCGTTGGTAAGGGCAGCAGGATGGGGAGGAGAGCCAGCCTGCTGCTGATGCTGGTTGTCCCCGTGCTGTTTGAGATCACTCAGCACATTTGCAGTGGTTTGAGATGCCTTTCTGCAGGTCTGGCAAAACAAACCCTAACTGTGCTCAGCTTTCCTGTTCAAAGTATGGTTCTGCCTGCTACTGCAAACAGTTGTGTTCTTGGGCAAAACATTAAGCTTAAACTGGAAGAAAATTGGATAGGGCCTGTGGTCTAATAGCTGTGCGTAATACTGTATTTGAGGAGAATGTAGAAAAACCACATTTATTTAGTTTATAATTGTTAATGAATATGCTCACCTTCCCAATCCTGGTGGTAAGGCTAGTGAAATGTCCCAGTGTTTCATGTGGTACCTGTTTCTCTTTCTCTGCCGCTGGGGAATAGCTGAGCAGTCATGGACTGCTGGTCTCTGGCTGGAAGTGTAATTTTGCTGCCATATTTTGACTTTTCAAGAGAGGGAGGATGCAGAATGGATTTGAGTTCTTACTGTATCCTATGACTGCTTTCCAGCCTTAATTCTCGACACAATGTAACAGCACACAGTGCTTTCCATAATATTATCTTCTGTTTCACAGTCTTCCCAAGTGGTTGCCACCACCTGATTTTCAGTTTATTATTCACTCAAGAATCTCCAATGTCATTTTTCACCCCCAGTCATTTTTCCTAATGCTTCCCGCATTTAGTCTGTGCTGGTGTCTGGAACCTACCAGATTCAGGAGCTTGGAATTTCTAAAAGATAATGCTTCAGAATGCTGTCTTTCTCCCCAGTCTCACCGCAACACTCGCCTCTGTCATCTTCGTGACCTCAGATTAAACACAAAACTTAAGTAAGCTTAATCACCAGCTAGTCTGTGGGTGAATTCATGAGGTTAAAACCATGAGGTCTTAGAGAAATGCCTGTCTCTCCCCTCCCACTGTGGGCCATTAAAGTAGAAGTAGGAGCTTTAAGAACACAGCCAGGTACATTGGCCACCGTGAGCCTTTCCCAGCCATGTGCTGTTTAGAATTGTACAAAGGTTTAAATCTTAGTAAACTATAATGAGATTTCGCTAAAGAGAGAAACCACCATGTTTGTTCCTGGAACTTCCCTTTGCTATTTGGACTAGACTTTCATAAAAATATGAAGCTAAGGTAAAGAGATTAGTTATGTGAGCCTCATGCTTTTAAATATTTATGTTACTTATTTAATTTTCTGAGATGATCTGTGTAGCCAGCCCCTGCCTATACCTGAATATGTTGTGTACCCTGCCTCTGCCCCTCTGCCTCTCCACCTCCTTATCCACCTCCTTATCGGAGATCTAGAAACTAGGTTTTCCTTTTGTTTTTTTTTTTGTTTTGTTTTGTTTTGTTTTTCCTTAGGAGTTTGTTTAGAGCTAGGTGGTGGAGGCACATGTCTTAACTCCCGTCACTCAGGAGACAGAGGCAGATGTTTGAGGCCTGTCTGGGCTGCAGAGCTAGTTCCGTGACAGCCAGGGCTTCACAGAGAAACCCTGTCTCAAAACAAGAGTTTGTTTAGTTGAGTTATTACTAAATGATAAAATTAGTATGTTTTGAAATAGTCAATGTATAAAAATAATGGATGAAATTAAGTGTTACCATTTGGCTTTTTATTTTCTCTGGAAACAGTCACATACACCCCAGGTTGGTCTCTGTGTAGCCAAAGGTAACCTTGAACTCCAACCTTCCAGCCTCTACCTTCTGAGTGCTGGCAGTACAGGCACCACTGCTGCGCCCTGGGGTGCATCTCCAGTCCCCAGGCTGCTATCATCATGTATTTTCTGTAGTTTGCATTTTATTTCTTCTTTTTTTAAGCCATAAAGGGGTTTGATAGTTTGTGTCTAAATGTGACCTGTCGCATAAATCTTGACCAGTTTGTCCCATGAGGCAGTTAAGATGTGTTGTTTCTCAATGCTTCTCAGTGTTTTGCATTTGCATATTCTTGAGGACAGTTGTGTTACTGCTGTTTAGAAAAACTGATACCATACAACCAGCAGAAACCAGATCATTACTAGAAGTACATGTTTCTGTACTGTAATGCTGACTGTTTCTCAGTTAATACTTATTTTATTTAATATCAGTTTGCTTTAGCTGACCATTTACAGTTTCAAGTGATGGTATATAATTATAAAAGATTACAAAGTTTTTCCTGTTTTTTAATTTAATGTGCTGTTACTAGGAAAAGAAGTTCTCATGCCTTTTCTTTTCCTTTTAGGATTTTCTCATTCCGCATTTACCTTTGGTATAGAGAGCCATATAAGTCAGTCCAATATAAATGGCGCCCTGGTCCCTCCAGCTGCCCTGATCTCTATCATCCAGAAAGGCCTACAGTATGTAGAGGCAGAAGTTAGTATAAATGAGGTAAGGCACATGAGCTTCGTTGCAAATACTGATTCTAATTTACATATGTTTGCTTATTCACTATCTAACCTTGACTTCACTGGGTTCAGACTAAGATTATTATTCGTAATGTACCAGTCAGGCTGTGCCCGCTGTTCATGTGGGTTTCTACACGCGGTGGACACTGTAGATTATTCCTTTTCTGTGTGTGTGTTAAGTAAAAATGAGGAAATAATCTTTAATATGTAAGTAATTTTGCTGTATAATACTGAAAAGTACTCACAAACAGCAAGGAGTTAGAAAGCCGTTGTTAGTACCTTGTATGTACCCTGATTTTGGAAGCCAGTTTATTTATAAGTGATTCCAACTTTGATGCTCAGAGCTTCATGTCTGAGGCTCGTGTGTGAGTGGTATGTTTGTTTTGGGTATTGGCATGCAGCTGGTGCCTGAGGCAATCTTACCTGCTTCCTGATTCTGTAAGACAGCTTTGTAGCACAGCCAAACTCATTCACTTCTAGACTGTCTATGGGTGGATACTAAGAACCTGAGGTGAGGTAACAAGTATTCTACAGCCTTCAAAGCACTAATCAGCACACAGTACATGTTCTTTTCGAGAAGTCTGCAGAGCTTTGCTGTAACTGGAAAGTTTAGTGTATGAACAGGACTCCCAACATGGTGAGGGCTTCCCTTTATTTTTCTCTTGACAGCAGACAACACTTCCCCCCTCAACCCCCAGTCTCTGTCTCTGACTTTCTCTGCAAAAGTAAGTGAAAGGATTTCAGCTGTTTAAAGCAGTCCAGGCCCTGTTGGTACCCTTAAGAACAGATCCCACATCACCAGATGGCACTGTCTGCAGCTGCTCTTCACTTACACCAAACGGCAAGTTTATATAGCGTGCACACCTAGATCTTTTATGGTAGAGTTACCCTGTAATGTTAGAGAGAGCCGACAAGAAAAAGATCGGCTCCAGTTGAGTACATGCAGAGTACTGATGAAGGCACTGCCTCCTTGTTGTATCATCTATTCATATTAGTCGATGTTTTTAAAAAGGTTTTATTACCTGAATTTTATATTTGTATTTTATCATCTGTTTAAGCTTTCTGAGTGGCCTCTTAATATTACATTTGTCTTTGTGCAGAGTTTAGCAGGACCTAAGTGAAGAGTAGATGCTATTTACATCTGCCTCTTCTATTACGTTCATCTTTGTGCAGAGTGTAGCAGGACCTAAGTGAAGGACCTAAGTGAAGAGTAGATGCTATTTGCATCTGCCTTTTGCAGTGTCATTCTTCTCTCCCCCCCCCCACCCCCCGACTTGCTCAAATTCAGAAATTTACTAGGTTTTCCTCAAAAGGAAGCAGTTCATTTTGTCAGTGGAATGCATGTTGCCCTCAAGGCTACATCTCATTTTTCTTTCCTGGTTTTCCAACCCCAGGATGGCACCTTATTTGATGGCCGACCCATAGAGTCTCTGTCCCTGATAGATGCTGTTATGCCTGATGTAGTCCAAACAAGACAACAAGCCTACAGAGACAAGCTCGCACAGCAGCATGCAGCCGCTGCCGCAGCCGCAGCCGCGGCCACTAATCAGCAGGGATCTGCGAAAAATGGAGAGAACACAGCAAATGGGGAGGAGAATGGAGCACATACCATCGCAAGTGAGCTAAGAATGTTTAGAGACTCTTAGAAAATACTTTTGCTTTACTAGACTGCCCCATTCTTAGAGCTGGGTACAATGTTTGCCTCTACCTCCGACTTGGCATCACATAGTCAAATAGTATACCCAAGGTTCCAAAAAGCTAAATTCACTGCGTGTGAACCCCCTTTCTACTCTGGAATGAGTTTTACATCTGCATTTGATTTCCAAGTGACATTTGTAATATTCTCTGTTGCAAATGTACAGTAAGGCTCTGACATTGAGGAATAAAGACAGCTCATGTTATATGAATGATATCAGCAACCCCTACTGGCAGAAACTCAGAATAGTATTGTTGCAGACTGTTTAATTCAGCCCTGCTGAGGTATAACCTTTGTTTTTCTGTCTTACCACTTTCATATACACATTCTGTGTACATAAACACTCACACACTTAAATCTAGTACAGTCATCCTTGTTAGAAATGTGCTTACCTTATGACAAACACTGTTCCTTCCCATGATGCAGATAATCACACTGACATGATGGAAGTAGATGGGGATGTTGAAATCCCTCCTAATAAAGCAGTTGTGCTACGGGGCCATGAATCTGAGGTTTTCATCTGTGCTTGGAACCCTGTCAGTGATCTCCTGGCATCAGGGTAGGTTTTTCAAAGGGGCTTCTAGATGTTGGTTATTTTGTTTGGTTTTAGACAGGATTTACTTTTTAACCTTGAATTGTTGATCCTCCTGAGTCCTGGGATTTTAGGCCTGCTTCACCATGCTCAGCTCCACAGTGGTATTTAAGAATGAACTGCTACATATTTTATATATATTTTACTTTCCAGGTACTCTTGTTGATTGTTTATAGTGATTTTGCCTTAGTAAATAAGAATTTCTTTGTGAAGTAATTTTAGAATTGTTTGTAGAAACTCTAAAATGTAGAATAAGAAAAATATTAGAAATGTTTATGCCTGGTAGCCTACTTTTTATTCAAATGCTAAATGTATGGCTTGGATTCTGGAATGCTTGCAAATGTCATGACAACTTAAGCTAATTTTTGGACTTTGAAGGTCTGGAGACTCCACAGCAAGAATATGGAACCTTAGTGAGAATAGCACGAGTGGCCCCACACAGCTGGTGCTGAGACACTGCATACGGGAAGGAGGGCAGGACGTGCCCAGTAACAAGGATGTCACCTCTCTAGATTGGAATGTGAGTGTTCTTCTCTTGCTTAAGTGCTCTGTGAGTGAAGACATTTGAGGACTTCACAGACAATCTGGAAATTAGATTCCGATTTTAGCTTCAGCCTGGCTCCATGTGCCCAAAGTCCTAATCAGAATTAAAAAATATTTCGGAAGATGTTACTTTTTACTTCTTATAAAAGCATGGCATTATTTTGATTTTTTTTTTCCTGGTCTTCTACCTACCTTCATACTTATTCATGGGCATCTGTGAAAATGTCCTTTTCACAGATGGATACTGTCAGTCCTGCTACACAGTGCTTACTGCCGGTGCTCAAATTTAGGGTGAGCCTTTAGGGTGAGCACTGTCGGGGAAGGGCGCTGTGCTGGCCTTTGTTAGCGCTCACACATAGATGAGGGTCTTTTGGGCCAGGCACTTGAACGAGAAGCATGTTTGCAGTACTTACGTGGCCTTTTGAGGTTGTGTAATGAACAAAATGTATTTCTTTGACAGAGTGAAGGTACACTTCTAGCAACTGGGTCATATGATGGATTTGCCAGAATATGGACTAAAGATGGTACATATTTTTTTCCTAACTTTATTGATGTTCTAAATTACAGAGTTTGAAGAAATCTTAAAGTTTGTTTTTGTTTTTGTTTTTTTTTAACTTTAGGTAATCTCGCCAGCACCTTGGGGCAACATAAAGGCCCTATATTTGCATTGAAATGGAATAAGAAAGGAAATTTCATCCTGAGTGCTGGTGTGGATAAGGTAAGCGAGCACTCAGCTAAGCTCTATTAGGAATATATTTGAAAGTAATTTTGTTCTTTCCTGCTAATCACTTACACAGACTTCAGTTCATACAAATATGAATTTGTGGCAATAAAAGAAATAATTTCTTCTTATATTGTCTGCCTGTTTTCCTGAATCTGCTCATATCATATCATTCGGTCATATCATTTGCTGATATGACCACTCCTGGTTTTGCTGGGATTTGAACCTAAGGAAATGTCCTCATTAGGCACTCTTGTGCTTTTCCAGTTTATCTCAGTGCTGACTGTGATGTGGAGTGACTCAGTGGGCCCTCCATGCCCTCCTGTGCTTATTAGAAACACAATACCTTCTTAGCTCCAGGCTGTGAATAGAGACTGGTTGAAACTGGCTCCTTTTTCAATTCCCACTACACCTCCCTTAAAAATCAAGGGTTTAGGACTATTTCCATCCAGCAAAGAGCAGGCTATTAGTCAGCTCAGTGGTGTGTAAGGAGGGGGAACATAACTTTGGCTTACCCTCACATTTTTAGGGAGCAACTTTAAAAGAGAGATGAAGGAATCTGGGAAAAGAAAGGGAGAATAAGAACCAGCATCTGTCACTTTCATGGGCAGTTTCATGACCTGCTTTAAGTGGCATCAAAAGTGTAAACAGCTTTTGATTGATTGTCGATTTGGGCTTAAAAAAATTTGAAATCTTTCAGTATTTCAAATTAGATGATTTCACAGTAACAAGAATTTACTGCCTCATAGCTTCTGATCTGTAGAAACTCATTAAATGCACCATTACAATGATATCCACTAAGCAGTGTAATACAATGCCAGACACTTTGGTGACAAATATTGTTATTGTTAGTAAGTTGGTGAGAAGTTCCCACAGAAAAATTAAACTAGATCATGATCGTTTCCTCTAAGCTGAGTGTAGGTGGCCTTGTGCTATGAGGGATAAAAACATTGAAGATGAAGTTTATTCTAAAGTTTCATTCTGCCTTCATACAGTTAAGTATCCATTATTGCATTCACACACTCCTTAACTTCAGAATTAATTTTTGTTCTCCTTTTACTCTCAGACCACCATCATCTGGGATGCACACACTGGTGAAGCCAAGCAGCAGTTTCCTTTCCATTCAGGTAAATCTTGGCGACACACAAGGCAGCTGACTCACGCCTGTGTTTCTCTCATTGGAGAATTGTATCATGGAATTCATTCAGGACCTTGAGTGTCACAACATTCTTGTTACCAATTCTCTCAGGAAATGTTACATAGCCTTCCGATGGCTCCTTTTCTGAGGTCCAGCAGGTTTTCTGTGAAATATACCGTAAAAGAGGCATGTAGGTTCTATAGTTAGGGGCGGTGCTGCAGACCTGCAGATGGTCTGGTGGTAAATGGCCTTTCTTCACTTGCTAAGCTCTCAAATCACTTAACTTTTTTCACTATATGTAAATGAGGGTTCTTGATAGTTATGTATTTATTGCAAGGATAAGAAAAATGGCATTTGTGGGGATAAATTAAACCATTACAGGTTTCCATATCACCATCTTGTGCATTTTAGATTGGTGTGTCTAGGTCATCCCTCCTGTGTCTGTGACGTAAAAGATAGGCATCCTCGGTGTGTTGTGGGTTTTCTCCTGTGTATAGCCATGCTCTGAGCATGTAGTTCATTGCCCTCGTTGCCTTCAGCCTGGAAATACTGCATCTGTTCTCAATGACTAGCTCTGCTGTTTGAGTAGTCAGGGAGGAACAGTGTCCTGCTCTGTGTCCCAGGCTGGCCTCAGACTCACAACATTTCCTCTCTCTTCTTCCTCAGCTCTAGACGGCTAGGACTGCAGCTGGCTCCTCAGTGAGGTTCTTGGTTGCAGTAAAACTATCAGGGTACTAGTTTTAGCATTGCTTGATAATAGCTGCTACTTTTAAGAATTGTGTTCTAAGGTTCTGCGCTGGAGCTGAGCAGGAGACTGTGGTCATCTTCCTCATGTCTTTAATAATGAACCACCACAGACAAAGGTGCAGAAGTACAGCAACCAAACAAACCAGCTAGGAGCAAAATGTTTTTCGGTAGCTTCTGAGTAGTGGTTTGCAGGCATTGTGTTAAGCACCAGACGGTTTACTAGAGCTTACCACTCCCTGTTTACCTGTTCTGCTTCTCTTTTACCTTGGCTTCTAGTTCTTTCCCAGGTAGAATTTTTCTTGCTCTCTGGCTGTCACACGTTTCCTCATACTTTCTGGGAGTGATTTAAAGTTAAAGGAGTTTGTGGGGGTGGTGTGTGTGCATGCTTTGTCATAGTGTAAAGAATGACACCAGTTGAGGTGTTTCTTAGACTTCTGACCAGAGCTTGCAGAGGGATAGAACAAGCCTTTGTCCATTTATCCTGTCCCATGTGTGCATGTACATGTGTGTGTTAGGAGATGCTGGGCTAAGGGATGTGGTACCTTTTAGATAGGAACCAAAAGACAAGGGAGCAAAGAACCTGAGAGAAAATGAATTAGGGAGTGAAGAGCAAGGGTGGGAGGAAATAGAAACTTTTGAAAAGAAATTTGTAATTTAACAAAGTTCTGCTGAGAAATAGTTGGCATATGATGGAGTAGATGTATTTATCTTGAAATTATAACACATATATGCATCATTGACTATCAACACACTGAAGATACAGATACACCTGTTACCACAGGCTTTGCTCCTGCCCCTCTGTGATGTCATTCTCCAGGCACTCACAAGTCTTTGTCACCAAAGATGAGTTTATGTTGTACATGCAGATTCACAGGTGTATTTTATTTGGATGACTAGGGCCTCTTTCACTCTGCATAATTATCCCTCTGTGTTATAACAAACATTTACTCAGTACTTTGTGTTGCTGGCAAGGTCTCTTTTGGTGGCCTGTACAGTGGGTTTGCCTACTGTTGAAGTAAATTAGTGTTTTCTGTTTGGGCTTGTTAACAGATAAAACAACTATAAACATTCAAAAGTCTTTAAATGAGCATGCATTTTCATTTCTTAGTTTGCAGTAAAATGACTGTTTTACTAAGAAACTGAAATTGCTTTCTAAAGCAGTGTATTCTCGCCAGAGACCTTAGTGTATGACCGTACAATTAATTGTAGCCAATTTGATTGTTTTATGATGGCATCTTAGTATGGTTCTAATTTGATCATTTTTCTAAAAAACTAAAATGTGGGGGGAGGTAAGTGTATATGGAGGCCAAAGGTGGTCAAGGGGCTTCCCCTGTCACTTTATCGCGTTATGTTTTGAGGCAAGATCTCATATATCGACTACACTGGCTAACCAACAAGCTTCAGGGGCATTCCTGTCTCCACCTCCCCAGTGCTGGGATTGCAGGTACACACTATCAAGTCTGACTTCTTATGTAGGTTCTGGGCATCCAAACTTATTGGCATGCTTCTGGCATAACAGAGAAGTCATCTACTGAGCCATCTCCCCTCATCCGCTTTTGTTATTTACATTTCCTGTAATAGGAATGACCTGTAACAGGTCATTTACTAGGTGTATAACAAACATTTTCCCTTCATCTTTAGGTTTCTTTGCTTTTTATTATGTTCTGTTTTCAAAACAGGCACTCATCGTGCTGTCTTCACTGGTCTCAAATTCAGGGTGCTCTTAGGTTACAGACATGTGCTCCACTCCCAGTTGGATGTTCTTATGTGGATCAATTTCATCGTTATAATTATGTTCCATAATTGTTTTGATATTTATTTTTGAGACAGATCGTTACTGTGTAGCACAGGCTACTTGAACGCTGGAATTCTAGGCCTGCTCCATGCGACCTCTGTTTTTCATATGTGTGTATTCCATTTCCCTCAAAGTAACTTTCTGACTACATTTTTATTTCTTTGAATCTGTGAATTATTTACATTATGTGGCTTGATTTCTAAGTATTTGGGGCTTTTCTAGAGGTCTGTCAAATACTAGTTGCTAATTTGGCTTCACTGCTCTTAGAAACATTAATTGGGTTAACCTAACATTAATGTTCACTTTAGTGGGTTTTTGTTTGTTTTTACCCGTTACTGCTCTTCAGCCTGTTAGACCATCCATTCTTGAGAGAGAGATACTGAAATCTTTCAACTAATGGAAAGTACCCAGTTTCTTTCTCTTCCTCCTCTTCAGCCTTTCTCCTCTTCCTCTCCCTCCGTGTGTGTGTGTGTGTGTGTGTGTGTGTGTGTGTGTGTGTGTGTGTGTGCGCGTGTGCGCGCGAGCTTGCACATTGCAAAGGTCAGGGGGAGCTGTCAGGTGTTGTTACCTCTTACCACTTACTGTCCAACTGTCTTCCTTTGAGATAGGGTCTCATCCTGAACTTGGAGTTCAGTGGTGGCTTGCAAGTTCCAGCAGTTTTTCCGGATCTGCCCTCCAGGAAGTGATGGAGGCACAGATTCAATATAGGCATGGCCACAACTGGCTTATGATATGGGTTGTGTGAGCAAAACTCAGGTCCTCATGATTTTGTAGCTTGCACTCATTCCCACTGAGCCATCTCTCCACCCCAGCTGTTTCTGAAAGGCAAATTAGAGGTTATTTGGAGCTGTGGTCAGGTGTCCGGATGAGTTAGTGCTTAGTGACCGTAGTAGTCAGGAAGTTGTAGAAATAAGGAGATAGTTGCATAAAAAAATGAATATAAGTAAACAAATTTGTATATTTAGAATTAGTTAAAATTTGTTGTATGTATGTCATAGTCACTGGTCTATTGCTGCAAAGAGTCAATGACAAGGAAATTTAAAAAAAAAATAAAGCATTAATTGGGCCTTGCTTGCAGTTTCGGAGGTTTGGTCAGGTGTCATGATAGAAAGTATTCCAGCAGGCAAGCTTAGTGCTGGAGAAGCCTAGAGCTACACCCTGATCCACAGGCCAAAGAGAAAATGGACTGCTATTTCCTTTTGACACTCCACAGCGCCCTTCCCATGTGAGACACTTTCTCCATCAAGGCATACCTTCTAATCCTTCTAATCCTTTCAAAGAGTTCCATTTCCTAGCCACTAAGCTAGGAATATTTGAACCTATGGGGACCTTCCTATTCAACCACCACAGTGTATTTGGCCATGAAGCTTTAAAATAATGAAAAACTCTGCATGCCATTGACCGAGACACTTTCAAATTGGGTGAATTACATCTCAGTAAGGCCATTAACGATGCCAGTGAATTATCAAAGAAAAAAAATTAAGAAAAATACTATGAGAAATGCCCCTTTCTTCATAGGTTTATTCTTTGCAAAAATTATTGAATGAATCTGTATATATTGATGAAAATAAATCAGAACAGAATTCTTTATTTTAGTTCTAAAAGTTTAAAAATTTTTTATCATACTTGGAAAAATAACTTTTCTTAGCTTCCTCTAAACATGTAATATGTGGCCTTATCAGACCTTTCACATATTGGGTACATTTTGCGTTAGGTCTGTAATCTGCAGTCCTAAAGAACTTACACTGCCTGGACCTGCCTTAGCAATGGCTATTTCCTGGCATTTTCCTGGATTGCTGGCGTCTATGAGGTTTTAGAGACAGGCACACTGCAGGTGCTTTTATCACAACACCTCGTTCAGCATTCCTAGCTGAAGTCGTAGTTCTAGCTTTCTTTTTTCCATGAACCGAAGCTATGGCTGTGTTAGTGCGGCTTGCTCTTTGGCAGCCTCCTCTCACATTTGCAGATCACTCAGGCTCTCAGAGGACCTGTCAGATATTTGGCTTTCTTCATACTTTTATTTATATACATAATTATCTATTTTTTAAAAATATTAAAATTCCAGACTCCTCCTCCCTTATTTTTGACTTCTTAATTTTTTAATTTAGCATTTTAAAGAATGATATTTCATGTTAATAATTGCAATGTTCACTGAATCAAGATTTTGTCAGGCAGACAGTTGATGTATATATACTTGGAAATCCAAGAAAGGTACTTCAACGGAAGGACGTCATTGTAAGCAGTGCTGGGAAAAGGGAACATCCGGGGCGGTGAGGTCACCCAGAGAACAACTGCAAGAAAAGAACAGACTAGAGAGATGGAAGGTGCTGCGACTGCAGTTGGAGCCTGAACCACTGGGAAGAGGCTGCCTAGTAACAACAGGGACCATTGAGAAACCTAGACTGAGCCAGTGGCAGGGACACTGTCTCCTCTGCTGGCCTTGGGCTTCTGATCCCCTCTTTACCTCAGTGACGGATACTCAGGACTGGAAAGCACAAAATCCTAGAAGGGGCAAGTTGTGAGAGATAGCCTCATGGTCACCTTGAAGAGAGCTGGGACTGCTGGCTACATAGAGGATACACCAAATATTTGCCAGCAGTCACATGCTGCTGACCAAGGTAGCCACAGCTGCCAGCTGATGTAGGCTCCATCCACCTGGAAGTCATACCGAGCCCAATGTGAGATAGGTTTAGGAAACGTCCAAGGAAAGCAAATTGGGAAACATCCTTCACTTTTCTGTTTCTTTTTGTCTCTAAGTGGGGTTGACAAACTTATCAAAGTTCAGAAAGTAGCTTTTTCTCGTTTTGTGGACCATAGGATTCATGGTCCTATGAGGCTAAGTCTAAATGTCCTATTATTTCCCCTGTGGAAATTCCTTCACACAGCTGATGGAAAGTGAAGACAGTTGAGTGAGTGTGTTCACAGTTAACCCAGTCACTTGCTGCCCTTGCCTTGTTCTGTGAGACTAATTACAGAGCCATTGCAGCTTTTTACGAGGAAAGAAAAATGCTCTCTTTGAGCTAAAATCAGGCTACATACTAAATTTTAGCCCGCTTTTGGACTTTTTTGAGATTTTAAGTTTAACAATGTAAGAATCATTTGATTTTTCTTTTTTTATGGTTTTGTTTTTCGAGACAGGTTTCTCTGTGTATCCTTGTCTGTCCTGGAACTAGCTCTGTAGACCAGGCTAGCCTTAAACTCACAGAGATCCACCTGCCTCCGCTGGAATTACAGGCATGTCCCACCGTTCCCAGTCATTTGATTTGTCTTAAAAAGAAATTTTATAAGAATTATTTAGAAGAAAATGTATTTGTTGATTACATGCAGTGTAGTTGCCAATAGGAATGGCTCCCACTCAACATTTATCTGACTTGTAGTTTGTAGCATTCTTTCAACATGCAGCTTTTTGCTTGGTCTTGGTGGCATCTCCAAGTACTAAGTGAAGTGTAGAGGTGGGGTGTTGACCCCAGGCTCAGAATGAAGTGTCACCATGCTAGTAGGTTCAGTAATTTGTTTCACATAAAACAATAGCAGTGGTAGAACCAAATCCTGTTGATTACACATGCACAGGTAAATAAAATAGAAATAAAAAGTTGACCAGGTTTTTTATTGTTATACAAAAGAGAAGCCAAGACCTACTGTTCCACTTCAGCCTGAGTTGTCCTGCACAGTGATCACACAGCTGAAAGTTATTGGCATTTTTGACACCTAGATATTTATTTATATCTTAAGAAGTGTGAACTGTGGGCTGGAGAGATGGCTCAGTAGATAAGAGCACCAGCTGCTCTTTCAGAGGACACAGTTTTAGTGAAAAGGAGAAAAGTAAAAATTGTAAGTACTACCTAGGATACTTAATGTTGAGCCACAGTTCAGAGCCAAAGCTCCTGGGTGACACATACACAATGCAAACCCAGCCTATGTTCCTTTCCAGCCCCAGCACTGGACGTTGACTGGCAGAGCAACAACACCTTTGCATCGTGTAGTACAGATATGTGCATTCATGTCTGCAAGTTAGGACAAGACAGACCTATCAAAACATTCCAGGGACACACGGTAAGAAGGCTTTTTCCTCCTAAAAATGGCTGTTTTGAGCAAGTAATATTTCAAAATAATTTTTAAGTATGTATATTAAATATCAAATAGCCTGTTCTATGAAATGAAAATATAAATATTTACTGTTGTTTTTAGAATGAAGTAAATGCTATCAAATGGGACCCAACTGGCAATCTCCTAGCCTCCTGTTCAGATGACATGACCTTGAAGGTAATTCAGTTATGGATGCTTTAGGGTGAAGGTGTCCCATGGACATTTCATTTCATTTATTTATTTGTTTGTTTGTTTGTTTGTTTATTCATTTGAGTCATTGTCTCACTGTGTAGCTCTGCTGTCTTAGAACTCAACCATGTAGACCAGGCTGGCCTTGAACTCACAGAGACCCACCTGCCTCTTAAATGCTGGTGTTAAACGTTGTATTGCCATGCCTGGCTATTTAAAAATGTTCTTTTGATATGTTAACCGAAATGAGGACTTGTCTAGCTTTTTAATGGTTCATCTATTTTTCCTTTGAAATACTGCATACTTGAATATAGTAAATTCTGTGTTGTACAGGTAAATTGTGCTGCTGTGCTTATCACAGTTCTCACTTGTGAGGAAGTAATAGGGACATAGATTATAAGAGACTTAGGAAAATCTGTACACACAATCATGGAGGCTGTGAATTCCTATTCTCACTTATCTTCAAACTGGATACCCAGGAAAACCAGTGTCTTCTCCTTTGTTATGCTAAAATACCATTATAAAGGCAACTTAGAGAAGACTTTATTGGGCTTAACAGTTCAGACAGTAAGTCCATGATCATTATGGCAGAGAACATTGGCAGCAGGCATGGCGTTTGCTTACATCAACAACCATAAGTGTGTGTGTGGGGGGGGGAGATGTGTGAGAGTGAGTGCTAAATGGGAATGGTATGGGTTTTTGAAGTAAAAAAAGCCCACCCCCTAATGATATACATCATTCAACAAGGCCACACTTCCTAATCCTTCCAAAATAGTTCCATCAACTGGGACCATTCTCATGCAAACCCCACAGTCAGCCATGTGATTGCAAAGTTGAAATCTAAGGCCTGGGAATCTGGAACAGGAGGGCCATACTTCAGGTAAGGCCCATACCAAAGGCTGAAGCCCCATATTTCAGCTCAGTAGTGAAGCCAGAGAAGCCAGAGGTTGCTACCTACATGACTACTGTGCATTTATATTGAGAGTGCAGTCTGCTTTGTTCTTTTGAGAGACATGGGGAAATAATGCTTAACCCAATATCTATATTCTTCATGACTCAAATCAAGTTGAGACAGGGAATTAACTGGTCAAGAAGACAGTGTATGTGACCAGAAGTAAAACTTAATACCTTTCATACCACAGGTAGTGAAAGCATACTTTTGTGGTAAAGACCAGCCTAGTGCTAATCTTCTCAATGACTAAATCTTATGCTTCTTCATGCTATACATGCTCCACTGAAAAGATTTTATCCTTAGCCTTGCAGTACCAGTGACTGTCCTGACAACCCTTACAAATAGGATTGTCCTGCAGGGTAAAGCACTTCTTTTCCTATGAAAAGGCTGAGTGTTCCTTTCCTCCCTTCACCTCCAGGTTCAAATAGAGGACTTGGGTGTGCTAAAGAAGCATTACAACTCTGAGCTGCATCTAAGTCTTTTTTTTTTTTTTTTTTTTTTAATGGAGCCACTGTGTAGCCCAGGCTGGCCTTGAATTGGAAATTCTTCACATCCTCTCAAGCACTGGGTATAGGACTATACCACCGTACTAGCTTTACTTGTCTTTGGGTTTTGGTTTTTTTCTCATGCACCTGCATTAAAGCTTATACTATGAAAGAATGATGTCGATAGCCAGAGGAGCTTATACTGTGAATTAAGCTGCAAGCTGAATAGCCTGGAACCAAATAACTTATGCTCTAGATTGGAGTTTTTGTTTGTTGGTTGGTTTTTTGTTACCCAAGAGAAAATTTAGGATTAAAGGGTTTCAAAACACAAATAAAGTTGAGTGGTATATTGTGAACGTTAGGATGATAAACCTCGCGAAACAGATTTCCCTCGATCAAGAAAATGACCAAAGTAGATAGAAAATGTCAAGAGGATTGCAAGGGGTGATGTGTCGCACTTGCCAGTACCAAAAGCTTGAAAAGACCCCCTACCCTCAAAAAATGTAGAAAAGAATGGGAGCTGGCTAGAGAGATGGCTCAGGGGTTAAGAACACTGGCTGCTCTTCCAAGGACCCAGGATCAATTCCCAGCACCCACATGGCAGCTCACAACTGTCTGTGACTCCAGTTCCAGAGGATTTGACACCCTCACACAGACACATGCAGGCAAAACACCAGTATACCTAAAATACAAAGAAACAAATTATTTAAAAAGAAAAGTGTGGTGAGCTTCATTTCACAGTCCTGTGTCTCTCTACTGCATTTCAGGAGTGTGAATTCCAGTTGTTTTTGGTGTGTGTGTCTGGGTTTGGGGAACCTCACACAGTGCTAGACCACTAGCACAAGTGCTCTACCACTGAGTTAACCACAACTTTAGTTCAAGGATTTCATGAATGTTGAACCTTGAGCAGCTTAAGACTGTTCAGAACTGCAGTTGATTCAGCCTTCAAGTTTTGCAGTAGGGAATTTTTGTGAAGAATTTAACACATTTTTATGGAGTAAGGCTAAATATATTCAATTGCTTTAAATTTCTTTGTAGTAGTCAATTCTCTTGATGTCTGGTTATATGACTCATTTTGTACTGGAAAGATAGTGCCTTTTTAATTGTATGAAAAATTACCATGTTTTTTTTTTTTTCTTTTGGTTTAGATCTGGAGTATGAAGCAAGATAACTGTGTTCATGATTTGCAAGCACATAATAAAGAAATTTATACTATTAAATGGAGTCCAACAGGACCAGGGACAAACAATCCAAATGCCAACCTTATGCTAGCAAGGTGATGGTCTATTTCACTTTTCCTATTGAGTCTCTCAAGAAAAAAAACTTTGGGAAAATAGGGCCAAAAACAGGGAGCATATCTTGGGGAATATATTGCAATGGAAACCTTTAAAACATGTGATTTTTAGTATTAGTATTTCAGGGCTTAGTGGCTTTTTGTGTCTATTGAATAAAATCCAGTGGTTAAGGCTTTGCTTATCGATACATGCTTGTAACCCAGCACTTAGGCCTTTGTGCTGAATATAGTAAGCCTAAAATCAATCTGGGCTCTATGGGAAGACCCTGTTTCAGTCAACAACATGATCAGATCATTGTGGCATAGGATAATAAAGTTCCATCAGCGTCTTTTTTTTTTTTTTTTAAAGATTAATTGCAAATTACATTCAGTTTGAGGTTCGAACCATGGACCAAGAACCAGGACTGCTGAGCATAAAGTGACTGGACAGGGCCTAGGGCCTTCAGTCTTTTTCTTGTTTCCCTTGGATTTTAGCAGTGTGATCTGCTAACCCTTTAGGGTTGGCTGGGGTGAAGCCAAGAGATTATGTGATTAACTTACAAAATTATTTTCCCTTCTATTTTCAGTGCATCCTTTGATTCTACAGTTAGATTATGGGATGTAGATCGAGGGATTTGCATCCATACTTTGACAAAACACCAAGAGCCTGTGTACAGTGTGGCTTTCAGTCCTGATGGCAGGTATCTGGCAAGTGGTTCTTTCGACAAGTGTGTGCACATCTGGAACACACAGGTATGTCCCAGTAATTTAAACAGTCAACTACACGTACACTACACTACACCTGTTTACCTATATTTTGGTTATTTTTGATGTGGCATCAGCTTACTGCTTAGTTTTAAAAAATCCTAACACTACTTTTGAGGCACTTTATAGCTAAATTAACACTGATTGAAAGTTGCATTTTTACGTGCAAATCAGTTTAGAAATAGATCTCTTGCCTTTTTAAATTCTTCAACAGCATAGTAGATGAAGAACTGAAGAGAAGTTTATGATGCACTTGACATTTGTTGAGGTTAAAGACCAATATTGGGGGGGTGGGGGAGATTGTGTGAGTGAACCATTCTTAACATGTGCTGCCTTTTCAGGGATGATAAAGAGCCACCCCTAAAACAGAGCAAAATAGTGCTTTTGCTTTCACCTTTCCAGCTTATCAGTGCATGAGCTTTTGTGCCCCACGAACCACTCTCTGTGTTCACCAGGCCTTTGTTGGAATGAGGTACTCTTATACATTATAGGCAGTCATTTCCCTTTCTGTAATAGATTTCCACTATAGTTAATTTGATGGGTTACTTGTAAACCATCACATTTGCCTATTTTCTTCATTAAGTTATACATCCTATGGCTTAGGAAGGTCTACTGACGAGCTTTTGGCCATCTCTGCCTTCGTGTCCCACAGTGACTGTTCTCTTTTTTTTTTTTTTAATTTTTATTTTATTTGTATTAATTACAGTTTATTCACTTTGTATCTCAGCTGTAGCCCCCTCTCTCATCCCCTCCCATCCCACGTTCATCTCCAATGCCCCTCCCCCAGTCCAGTGATAGAGGAAGGCCTCCTCCCTTCCATCTGACCCTAGCCTATCAGGTCTCATCAGGACTTCCTGCTTTGTGTTCCTCTATGGTCTGGTACAGCTGCACTCCCCCCAGGGGACAGTGATCAAAGAGCCAGCCACTGGCTTCATGTCAGAGACAGTCCCTGTTCCTGTTACTGGGGAACCTTCTTGGAGACTGAGCTGCCATGGGCTACATCTGTGCAGGTATTCCAGGTTATCTCCACGAATGGTCCTTGTATCAGTCTCAGAAAAGATCCCAATGCCCAGATTTTTTGGTTCTGTTGCTCTCTTTGTGGAGCTCCTGTCCCCCTCCAGGTCTTTTATCTCCCCCTTCTTTCATAAGATTCCCAGCACTCTGCCCAAAGTTTAGCTATGAGTCTCAGCATATGTTTTGATACCCTGCTGGGTAGTCTTTCAGAGGCCCTCTGTGGCACAGTGACTGTTCTTACCAGCTTGTCTTTCATTCTTACTTAGCTTACTACACAAAGCACCATTCTTCCAGCTTTTACTTAGCAGAGGTCCAGCTTCTTGGCGGAGGATGACATTTTAGTGAGATTCCGAGTGTTTCCCTACACACATAAGGGTGGTATAGGCTGACTTCCCTGTACAGTTTTTAAATTAATTTTAATTTTGCTTTTAAGAAGTAGTAGTCAAACTAAAGGACTTTATTATGGCACTTTGTACATATTTTGCTTTTGTTGAGCCTGTTTCCTGCTCCCCTCTGATTCACTCCTACCTTCACCTCCCCAGCCTCAATTCCATCTTCCTGTCACATGGACCCTCTTCCCTCCATTAAGACCTCTCTAATTGCTTCTCGTAAACCCCTGTCAATGAGAAGGTTACTCGTTTCATGACGTATACTCTACCTACATAAATAAAAATTAAAGTCTAGGATCCTTATGAGAGGAAAAATTTGTCTTTATGAGTCTGGGATGTTTTGCTTAACGATAATTTTCATTTCTACCAATTTTCTGGGAAAATGTCATGGTTTTATTTATTTATTTATATGTACACAAATTCCATTGTGTACATAAAATACATGCTTTCTTTTCTATCTCCATCTGTTGAAACAGTCTAAGTTGGTGTCATTTCTTGGTTATCTTGGCTAGCACAGCAGTAGACATGGCTGTGCATTTGCCTCTGCACCATGTTAGCTGAGTCCTGCATGTCTGGACACACCATAGGACTCACTCTTTAGCAACCTCCATAGGACTTTCAGTATGGGTGGCACCAATTTATACTCCTGCTGGCATGTTGACACCTGTTTTCCTCATGAAAGCCATTCTGACTGGAGAAATTGCAAGCTCAAAGTAGTTTTAGTTCACCTTTCTCTGATGGCTAAGGATGTTGAAACCCTAGAAAAACATTTATTGGTCTTTTATGTCTCTTCTGCCAGTTGCTTATTCAGTTTACCCATGCATTGACTAGGTTTGTTATTTATTTGGTGCTTAATTTTGATGGGTTTTTTTAAAAATGTATTTTCTCTCTATTTTATGTCTGAAGTATGTTTGGCATAGATTTTCCTCATTCCCATTTTCTGTCTACTCTGAGCATTTGCTTTGCTGTACATAGCCTTTCATTTCATGGTATATTTTTTATCAGGCTTGGAATTACTTCTGTGTAGCTGAGGCCCCATTAAGAACAAGCCTTTTTCTTTTCAACTGGATTGTTGGTAGTTTGGGGTTTTGAGAGGTCTCACTTTGTAGACAGGCTGCCCCCACTTCCAATTGCTGAGATTAGAAGCCTGTTCCTGGTTTAAAATAAAAATATTCTGGCTTAATATCTTACTAGAAATTGTCTTATCATTATTCTTTCACTTTTTTCTTTATCACTTCACAGCCTGACCACAGCCCCCCTCCTTCCTCTCTTCCCTGTCCCACTCTCACAGCTCCTCCCCCAATTCCCGTCTCAGAAAAGGGGAGGCCCTCTATGGGTACCCAACCCACTCTGGCACAACAAGGCGCAGCAGGACTAAGCCCATCCTCTACCTCTGAGGTCAGAAAAGGCAGCCCAGCTATGGGAAAGGAATCCAGAGGCAAGCAAGCGTCAGAGATAGCCCCTACTCCACTTGTTAGGGGACGCACATGATGCCAAAGCTGCACATCTGCTACATATGTGTAGGAGTCTAGGGCCAGCCCATGCGTGCTCTTTGGTTATTGATTCAGTCTCTGAGCTTCCATGGGCCCAGGTCAGTTTACTCTGTAGGTCTTCTTTTGATGTTCTTGGCCCTTCCCACCTCCTTTAGAACTTCCTCCCACTCTTCCACAAAACTCGCCAAGCTCAACTGTGGGTCTCTACATCTGTTTCCATCAGCTGCTGGATGACACCTCTCAGAAGATAGCTCCTGTCTGCAAGCATAGCAGAGTGTCATTAATAGTTCTCTCCCACGGGGTGGGTTTCAAGTTGGGCCAGTCATTGGTTTGCCATTCCTTTGATTCTGCCCCATCTTTATCCCTTACACGTCTTGTAGGCAGGACAAATTTTGGGTTGAAGTGTCTATGCCCAACTGCTGCCAAGAGAACCCACACCATTTTGGATTTTTATTTTACCTCTTTCCTGAATTCTTAGTCTGCTAAACATTTTATGATTTGGTAGATAGAGTACTTATTTGCTCTTACTTAATCGTAATGTTCAGTTGCACATTGTTTGGAGTAGATACACAGCACAGCTCTCCTTTTCTTTTTTCACTGTTGATTGGTTGGTGGTCGTTATGTGTTCTGGGCATTCTTTTGTCCTGGTTGTGGTCTGCTGTGGTCTTCCTTTCCATTTTCTTAATGGAGAATTTACCATGTCATTCTTTTAATGATTGTTCAGATTGCTGCTTTTTATAGCTTTATATATTGTTTATGCAAGATATCTTTGGGGTCTCTAAAGTTTTTTGTTGAGTTCTTTTGTTTTGTTTGTTTGTTTACAGTATTTAAGCTTAATTTTATTTGTGGTTCCTGTGGTGTTGGTTGGTATGGTGTGAGGTCTAGAAAGGAAGTCATCTTTACACGTGAATAGGAAGTCATCTTGGAGTCATTCATTGTCTTCTTACTGTTATCGCATGTACCAAGTTTGTAAAGCATTCACGTGGTGGACTTGCTCCTTGCCTCTTAGTTCAGAGAATTAAACTAGCACCCAGTGCTGCCGGGCAAGCACCCTGCACCAAGCTGCGTCTCTAGCCCCCAGTTCTCTTTTGGGCCATTCATACATTTGTGCATAACTGAATCTGCAGTACAGGCTTAACCACTCTCCATGGTATGTGTGGTGGTCCAGTCTTCAGTTCTTGGTACTTTAGTCTTTAGCATTTCTCAAAATAAGTGTACATTTCTGGATTTGATTGACCCTTTAAGTCTACAGGTTACCTTGAGTTCATTACCCAAGAATGCGCTTTATCTGTTTACTTGTCTTATTTCTTCAGTAAAGTGTTAAATTGATTGCTCTGGGGTGCCTGTGGTTTTTACATGTAAATGCTATCTTTTAAAATATGTATTCTTTTTACTTGTTGCTAAATATTTGGAAGGTTTTCCAGTTGGAATCTTGTGACAGAATAATTTCAGTGAAAGGTAGCTTACTTGAGGGATGTGGTCAGCCGTTTGCTGCTATGCTGTCCACTGTTTACCTTTTGAAACTTCAGTGTGAAAGGCAGATGGCATCTGGTACTGAATGCAGGTTTTCTGCTGTTGTCCTGTGGGATTGTTCCTTTCTGTTGATCATAGTATATCTCCTAAGTGTCTGACAGGAGAAGGGGATGGTTCTTGTTCCAGCATACAGATCAGATAGCCTGACCCACTAACCCTCACTAACACAGTTCTGCCTAGTTGGCCTTGTTTGGGTCATTGTCGTCCTGTTTGAACGTAGAGATAGATTGGTACATATTCTTAATGTAGGTAGATAGGTGGTTTGGGCAGACAGGTGGCCATTTGTTTTAATCCTGCATTCATCATCAGTGACAGGTCTGCAGGCCTACAGGATTTGCTTTTTAGGCCCCAGTCACTTTTTAACTTGCTGGCTGCTCCTTTTTTGACTCAGTAACTGCAGATACTTAAAGCTACTGTACTCAGCTTTTTTTTTTTTTTTGTCAGTCTGAAACTATGAAAATGTATAGGAAGTACAAAACATTTTAAAATTTTAGACAAATCTATGATCCCACCACATCTGTGGTTTGCATATGGTGTTTTGCTGGATTTGAAGAGGAAGTCAAGGCAAAGGTAGACCATTTAGGCTTATGTGCCAGGGTAGTGGTAGGGTAAGTTTGTAAGGAGCTTGGTTTGTTGCTTTCTGTTCTTACAGAGATCCTCCGGTTGCCATGGAGCACAGGGGCCACTTGCTTTGTCAGAGCAAAGCACCTTGTAGTTTGTAACTGCCACTGCACAGCCTCTTCTTCCCTTCATGCTGCTACATCTCAGGAGAGTACACTTCCGGTCTGAACATAGTTCTACAGAATTTTTTATTTTGTTTGAAGGAATAAAACAGCTATATTTAGAATTCAGCTAAGAGAATGGGGTTGTTAACGTCCTGGACATATTTTTAAAGAACTTCTATAACAGCCTTTAGGAGGAAAATGTACATCTTTTCTTCCTTTAGCTTCCTTGGACTGTTGCTGGCCCACTCATACTACACTAGGAAACCTACTGTAAACAGCATGAACACAGTGTCTGTCTTACCTTTTAATACTTCGTCTTTGTGATGCTTTCTTTCTGTTGGCAAAGTGCATATGTCCCTCAGTAACACGTGTACTTTATACCGTGCATTGAATGTTCACTTGTAGGTGTTGTTTCAAGGAAGCTAAAAGCCTAGTGGGGAATGGTCACCAACACTAGAAAAGCAGTTTGTGCTGAAAACATCCTTTGAGAATAGTCTCATAGAATGTGTGAAAGGGTTATCATAGCACATTTCTGGAGTTTTAGAACCTGCCTATAATTTTATTTGAAAACAAGTCTCACCTCTGATTGCTAGAGAATTAATGCATCATAAAAATATTTTTATATTTTTGACTCATTCTCAGACCCAATCTATTCATAAATTCTGTTATTTATGACAGTGTATCTTGAACCCGTATACTGCCTTTTAAATTACTTCTTGATTCTGAATTTATATGAATTAGTATAATAATTCTGCTATAGTAGCCTCGTATATGGGTTTCTCTTCCCTTTCTTCTCGCTCCCCTTGCTTTCCCTTTTTAAAATTACTATATGGTAACTATACATAACAATAGGCTTCATTATGATATGCTTATGCATAATATGATGCTTTTTGACCACCCCCCCTACCCCCTTGTTCCACTCCTTCTGACTCTTCATTTTCTGTGTAGTCCTCCTCCTCTAATGTCGTCTGGGGGACTGGAGGAGACTCAGCGAGTCCAAATAGTTACTTGTAGGAGCATGGGCAACTAATCAGTGGCTACACCACTGAAGAAAATGTCTCTCCCTCCCTCAGCCTCCATGAACTACTACAGATCCTCGGGGGTGTGGGGGGGGTAATTTATGAGTCCCTATCCCACATTATATTCTTTCCTCACTATTTAGGCGATAACTATTCTTAGGGTTCTGTTTCTCATGTTTTTAGACAGGTGCTCTAGTCCACAGTTACAGGGGAACAGGTGGGATTTTTGAAGTTTGCTGGAATGCAGCAGGAGACAAAGTTGGAGCCAGTGCATCGGATGGTTCAGTGAGTATGCTCATGAATTTTAAGTTAGGGACACAGTCATGGTCTTTGCAAAATAAAAATTTTTAGTTAAGGTATTGACACCATCCCCACCACCACTCCCTATGCTGTGTGCTAGATATGTTCATTACATTTGAGTAATGTAAATGAAACTTAGGGTTACTCTGCCAAAGAATCTTCATAAACAAGTAATGAATAGTTTTAAATGTATATCTCCATTTCTGCAGTTAAATGTAGTGAAGTATCTCTCACTAATGGTTTTTTGAGGCCCTTTCCCCAACTCTTCTCTCTGTGGAGGAGTGTTGGAGGTTGTAGAATGGAGACTGATTTTTGTGTGGAGGTATGCGACACTGAGACCTTCAGGGTGTTGGTTAGTCAGTTGTTGGGGGAAAAAAGTGTGACCTCCACCATTCTAAAGCAGGGAAAGCTGGAGAGAGTGTTCATGCAATGGCCTCCGTAACTTCTGGTGTCTTCTATTAAGATTTGATAGTTAGGACCTGGAGAGAGGGCTCAGAGTTAAGAACACTGGCTGCTCTTCCAGAGGTCCTGAGTTTAATTCCCAGCAACCATATGGTGGCTCACAACCATCTATAATGAGATCTGGTGCCCTTTCTGGTATGTAGGCAGAACACTGTACACAAACTAAATAAATAAACATTAAAAAAAAAAATATCTGACAGTTAGGAACAGTCTGCTTTGTATGTTTCCCAGTCCCTGTTTATAACGACTAATTCATAAAAATTACAACTTCTTTTCATTTACTGTAGCTCATAGGAGCTAACTGCACATCATAGTAATTTGTTGCTTTGATTTTATGGATTTGTATCTTAAAAACATTGTAAATTACACTGTAATCTTTATACGAGTTGAGCTTGAAATGTAGATTTCTGGACACTGCCTGACCATTGTCATCTCTTACAGGTTTGTGTCTTAGACCTTCGGAAGTAGCATTACTAGTTGGAAGCCATGGACCGACTATGAATGTGTACATAGCCACAAGACTACCCTGACCCACATACTGCTAGAGCCCCACTTGAGCCATGGCCAGTCCGCTCCAGCCGAACCTAAGAGAGATGACACATGCAGTATGTACGGACACAGCTGTACCCTGAGGGCGGCAGTCGCGCCCCAGCTTGTGAGCTCTGCTCACCAAGTGCTGGGCTCTAACCTGCTGTGCCCCCAAGTAGTGTTTAGAAGTTTGGATATAAAAAACAGAAGAGAAGGAATACGCGCTATAAGAGCAAACCACACGTGTACCAGTTTTGGACATTAATGACAGCCTTTTTTTCTCCCCTTTGAATCAGCAGACACCATGGATTATATTTTGTTTCCCCTTCAGTAGTGCGCAGTTTGTATGTACAGAGAACATGGACTTAACAGAAGCTTGTGGCAGTAGTGCGTTCTTGCTTCCAAGTTTGTTTTGGTTTAGATTACGGATGCATGAAGTAAGGGAGTGAATCATTTTCTTGCTTTTATTTTTCCTCACCTTTTAAACAACAACAACAAAAATCTTAAATATTTTACTGTATTTGTTGGAAGAGGTAGCTGTTTGGTACATTTTATGGCTCCCAGAGCATATATTCAATTGGTGCACATTGTGGAGGGAATTGGATTAAAGGAAAACCGGCATGACTTCTGGTCATGTTGTTCTCTAAGACACATCAGCAAAGGGTATTATGTATCTTTGTTTTGGGTTTTTGTTTTTGTTCTGTGTGCGTGTGTGTGCGCATGTGCGTGTGTGTATCTGTTATGGTTTAAATAAAATAGTTTTTTCTTGGGGACGTATTTCTGCCAATTGAAGACTAGAAGGGCACAACTTTTTTTTTTTTTTAATACCATAAAGAAGAGACATTTAAAAAAAAAAATCTTCTGATATTTTGTAGCCATAACTAAATTATGGTTAAAATGTGCACTATTGTGAGAAGGAGCAACATAGTTTGGAGATTTTAAAATTTATTTTTTATTTTACTGTTTGTCTGTTTTACTTTGTTTCTTAAGAGATTAAAATGTTTCTGGATAAGGATTAGCTTCTCAAAGTGTCCATCATTCTGTATAGAAGCTTAAGAAATATGTAATGTAACCAGATTCCAGTATTAAAAATTTCTCATGTTATTTTTCTTTTTATGAAGCAAGATTATGGCATATAGCACTGCCATTATGTGGCTAAGTGTTTGCTACCTTAGTTTGAAAACCAGCTTTTAAAGGCTTGCTTCAAGGTGTTTTTAAGTAGCAGTGATTGAGAAAAGCAGTGTGGCTGAGGTCAGCATTCTTCGGGTGTTGACGACTCCGGGGCTGCTTTGTCAGGCAGCAGAGATCTACGCTGCTGTTTTTCCAGTGCTCACCACTATATCGTGTCTTTTACTCTGTTTATATCAAGCATTTTTTTTTTAAGATATAGGTATCCAATCAGATCTCTTCTTGTCTTAGCTAAAAGTAAAATATACCTACAAATGTTCACCAGAGGCTATGTTTGTGAAGGTTTTAACAGGCCAGTCAATATTAACAGAAGAACCCAGAAGTGTCGGTTCTGAAGAAAACAGTTGTCAAATTTATGTCTTTAAATTTTTAAGTAAGAAATTGCTTAACAAATTTATAACACTATCTGTGTCACTGGTTATTTTGAGGCCTTTAACTCCTGAATCCCACCCTGTGTTCTGTCTGAAGCAGCAGCTCTAACCTAGCCCTGCAGCGTTGATGCACAGTATTTGCTGCTTTGCTCTTCTCAGAACAGCGTTGATTGCCGCAAGTCTTGGCTTCACTAAGGTTGAGTGGCATTTGCTTTTGGTAAAGAGGATGATACACTTAAATTTTACCATACATCGTTATATCTCCCCATTGTTGTTAGTGGGGACTATGATACTGTAATAATATTTTTAAAATTTACATTCACAGAGGCAGTCATGGTTTGTGCCAGGTGTTTTTAGGGTTCGATCACAGTGAGATATTTAGTACTCACTGCCCTGTGGCTCTGTAGGAAATCTAAAATGCCGAGTGTCTGGCACTTGAGATTCTGCTTTTACTGAAAGTGGGTCACATCTGTTGGCCCCTGTTGTTGTTTAAAAATAAAAATAAAAATAAAAAAAATCTGTGCAATAATTTTTAAATGTGCTCCCAGGAATAGACACAAATGTTTTGAGTATGCCTAAGCTGCATTTCCTTCAGCGATGCATTTGTCAATTGCACTGAATCTAAACCTGAAAGTCAGAGGTGATTGTTGATAGTGCTTTTGTATTTTGATATGGACATTTTATTCATTTGCATACAGTCATTGACGTTCTTCCCAGCTGATTCAAAGACAGTCACAAATTTCTGCAATACAGCTGCCAAAATGACAGCTGCATTTTATGATATTGTCTTGCCTTCTGTTGGGTGTGTTGTCTGTTGGTTTGTTTTTGTTGTGGTTGTTTCCACCCTAATTCTTTGACTCTTTTACTTCAGCACACTAACTGTGATAGGATGTCTAATAGAACATAATTGCAGAGCTTTGCTATCCTGAAGCCTCAGGTCTCTCCTGCACAGACATGGCTGAAGGTGTCCATCTTTAGGCTGGTTCTTCATGAGTGTAGGACTGTGTGCCTTGCTGCTGTTCTCACTGTCACTGTAGCCTGCTGACGTGCCACAATGCTGCTCCACAGACACCACACCATGTCTCTACCTGAGCAGTCAGAGGATCATAAGAGTGTGGTCCTCTTTAGTATGTGAAGTTCTGTCTTGGACTCTTTCCCTTTTGTCTCTTTCTGAGAATTTACTCTGAAGATCTACAGAGTCCAGCAGTCTTTCTGTAGTATTCATTTAGATCATCGTTTTATATGCTGCTGTAAGGAGCTCAATTATAAGGAAAGAGAATAAGACTTAAATGAATACTCATTGATTAAAGAGGAATAGAGAGAGCAGCTGCCACCCTTGAAAGGCAAGAAGGAATCTCTGTTCTCCATGCGGGAGACCCTTGGGCATTTAGATGTGCCCCGTTCCCTTTTTCCATGATCAGGTAATCACATTGACTTTCAGAGGACTTTATGAGTGGTAACTGGAATAGGTCTTAGAGTGTAGCAAATTCTGTTTTTATGAGTTATCCTCTAGATGAGTATGTTTTAGGATTAAACACCTTTTACAGCTACTGAAAGTGCCTCCTTTTATGGTATAAAACAAATTATGGTGCAAAAAGTTATCAATAGATCGAATCACATGAAGGTTTTTTTTGTTTTGTTTTTTTCTTTTTGACATAAAAATGTCAAGAGACAGGCCAAAGATTTGTATTTTTCACTTATAAAGCACTCCTTTTTTCCTTAAGATTCTTTCTGTCGAATCAGATATAATGAGAGAGTACTATTTTTAAGGAGCTATCTGTTTACGTACAATGATTTTGTTAAAAGAATAATGTAAAATATGAATGAGGAGCAGAGGCCCACAGAGGACTGGGCATTTTGCTATTGAAAGGATTCACGGATGACCAGGCTTTTGCAAGCATAGATGACAAGTTTTACTAGATACATAGGAAAACCATCTCAGTGCTGTCTTGCTCTTTCAAAGACCATTTTTGTTTTTGTAAGCGCATTGCACATTTCCACAGAAGCTGGATTCTCAGGAGCTGAGAGCGATACTTGCACAGTTTCTGCAGAAATCCTGCCTCCATGGACCAACATCGTGGCACACCAGCAAAAGCCAGCATTTGGGGCTAGCAGCCAGCCTACAGAGACCCTGGGGGTGGTTTTCTGTGTGTTTTGGTTCCCTCCTTTCCCCTGAAATCAGCAGGGAGGGAAGTATTCTTCCAGTTATAGCTCTGAAGTGTCACGTTTAATATCAGTTTTTTAATAGTGATTGTAGTCAAATGTAGAAGAGAGAGAAAAAAAGGGAGTGCTCACGTTTTTTTAATCCACTCATTTAGAATTTGGTGTCTTAATAGCAGTTCTGAGATGTCCATTTTATTCTTTATTTCTGCCCTTCTGTGACAGTGTTGAAGCAGCGTGAATAACTAGGCTTTTTTTTTTTTTTTTTTTTTTAACCTAGCAAGCTGTTTCATATTTTCTTTGGACTTTCTGGATAAGTTTGAGGAAACATTCTGCATGTTGCATCTGCTGTACTTTTTCATCTCATTACAAATAGGCAGGCTTCATTGTGTATCTCTGCCATTCTTAAATACAGAAGTGATTTTTGTCTCCTGATTTTGACATTGTTGCTATATGTTTTCATTTGGGTTTGGCAAATCCTTTGGGTCTAATTCTGTGAGCCTACCTTAGCACTGGGTGATGACGTCTACATCCATTTTTTTAGTTCCCCAGTTAATTTTCAATCTGTTGTAAAACTGTAAACTAGCCCATGACAGTTTTTTGTACATGTTAAAGAACTTTATTGTTCAGTTTCCATGATGATTGTGTAAGGAAGACTGATACAAATGTCTATCTCTCCTGGACCATGTCAATGACACTTATGTATTTTGGTTCCACATCACAGTGATTTGTCCCCAATGACCCTTTGACCCTTTCCAGGCACATTGTGTGTGTGTGTGTGTGTGTGTGTGTGTGTGTGTGTGTGTGTGTATGTGTGTGTGTGTTGTTGTTGCGGTTTTCCCTTTGCATTGTATTGCTTTGACAACTGTAATTTGAATCAGATCTGAAAGAGGTCCAGAATAAAATATATTTTGATATTATGTTGGCTGTGTACATATATAATACCTTTGATATCTATGTGGTTTGTATAGACTTTTTAGTCAAGAAGAGAGGGATGGTGTTTGTTTACAGTTTCCTGTTTACATTTCACTTGCTTTTACCCCCACTGTTGAGTGTAGTATAATGATTTTGCTCCGAGAGCCTTCCCTACTACACCCCATCTGTCCTAGCTCTCACTATCTCCAGTGAATATAACTGCCATGGGAATCACTGTTTTCAAAAACATTGTTTCCAAGATGTATACTTTAAAAAGCCCATAGATGAAATTAAAGTTTTTGCTATTTTATTACTTCTTGCAGGGGATAAGATTTTTTAAAATGGAGGGATTATTTTCTATATTTGTTAACTAATAGCATGTAATCAGCTAAAGGATAATGATGACTCCTGAGTGATTTTGAAAAAAATTAATAGTTTATTTAGAGGATTTCGCACATGAACTAAGACTTCATATTCCCCGTTAGCTTAGCACGCAGTAATACAAGACACACCAAGTGTGGCTGAAGGCTTTCAGGGCAGGAGCTTTTTCCCTTCATGGCATTCTCCTTCAACAGAAACCAAGCATACTGCAATGGTTTCCACCCTTAGCTAAACGCCGATAGTACTACAAACCCAATAATCTCTGAGGAAAGTCGCCAGGCACCTGTCCAGCCCCAGTTGCTCTCAACACTTTTGTACTTCCTTGAGACTTTTTCAGAATAGAAGCATTGGACATGTTCTTTATTTTCTTGGTGAAGATGCCTTCTCCATGTCCTCTACCTTTCCTCAGTTTCTTTGGTAGAAACAGGCAGCTATAACCTTGTTGTGCTGTCACTGCAGTTGCTAAAGCTAACAATTTTTAGTTTTCAAGGGGTTCATTTCTATTGCATGGTGTATGTTGTTAATGACATTCTGTCTTTATACTTTTCCAGAAAGCATTGGGCTGCCAAGGATTAAAGTCCATATGAGCCTGAAGTTAAGCAGAAATTGATTGAGCCACCATTGCAGGGGGCGGGGAATTACTTTTAATTTTATAGTTCTCATACTTTATCATGAATTAGATTTCTTACCTAGTATAATATGTAGCTGATTAGATTAACGTTTACTAGGTTCCTTTTTTTTTTTTTTTTTCCTATATATTCATCTGAAAACTACAGTAGAGGAAAAGCCGTTATGGACACTTGGTTTTGTGGTGCTTTTCTCTGCTGTACCAAGGCTCTGTCAACAGTGATAATGTTAACCCTATGCTGCCTTTCCCTGCATGCTTCTTAAATGTCATCTACAAATGCTTAATTGTCCTAACTTGTAATATTTTTGTATTAAATTTTTTAGGAGTTCCTTGTAATTTCTTTATAATTTAAAATATATTAAACACAAAGTGTTTAGTAAAGTACAGATGACAATTACTAATGTTTCTTGGTTGTTGGGTTTGTATGATCAGGTGGGAAGAAAAATTCTCCTTTTAAGAACTGAGAGCGGTGGGATGGACTCAGAGCTGGAAAACAATGACAGTTGCTTAATTTAAAATAAAGTACTGATATAGGGTCAGAATGGGGTGCTCTACAAGATGCCACCCTGCTGGCCAGGACAAGCTTGGGCTGGCTGGCACTGCCAGGGGGAACCTGACGTCTGCAGACCTGAGATCTGGGGACACCAGCTCCAGTGTCTTTCATAATTCAGGAAAGCATAGCACCTGTGCACGGCCAGAGCTTCTGTCACAGATTGGTGATGTGAGGAGACTTGCAGGAGGGGAGGTACAAACAAGGACCTGCATGTTGGGCGGGGATGCCACCGATGGACCACAGAGTTACCAGAGCAGATGTTGTTTACGTGAATAAGCTTGTGAAGAGAGCCCTAGCACTTGGAAGGCAGAGTCAGGAAGGTCAAGAATTCAAGGCCTGTTTGGTCTGAGGCTAGCCTAGGGTACTTGAGACCCTGTGCCCCACCCCCACCCCACCTCATGCCTCCCTCCCTAAGAAAGGGAAAATATACCTGTGTAGTATTAGTATTTCTAGCTGGGTTGCTGAAATATTTCAGTGTACAGTAATAAGCATGGACACTGGACCTGTAAGAAGTCAAGTCTCAGATATGAATAGTAACAGAGGTAAGTGAAATTCAACTTTTAAAAAAAAAATGCACCTGAAATGTGCATTAGAGTTCTTTTAAAACAAGGTGTCTGGCAAACCTCTGACCCAATAGGGTATAGTATATACTACTAACAGTAAATATCCTTTCTTTTATGAGCTTGTTTTTGCAAGAGCTGACTGGGACGTGAGGCTGGCTTTGACATTGGGGCTGATTGCAGACCATGCATGCAAGGAAATTCAAATATAAAATATAATAATGTCTGAGCCTAAGCCTTAACCAGTTCCTCACTCGTATCCACTGTTAGTAGTTCAGAGGATTCTTCAAAAATGTTTCAGTTTACACTTTTTTTCGTTTTCCTTCTTCCTTCTTTCCTTCCTTTTGGATATGAAGAGATTTATTTGGTGGAAGGAAAGGGGAGAGAAGTTAGAGGAGAAGAGAAAGAGGAGCATGGTGGGGGTCTCCTGGAGAGAAATGTCTGAGAGAAGGGAAAGAAACTGATGCAGAAAGAGTGGATGGGAGTGGCAGATGGGTTCTATCTGAAACATCTGGTCCAGGCGGTGACACAGGATGTTGTCAGGACCCTGAAAGCCCCTGAGGGCAGGCCAGTTGAATTGCCCGCACAGCCTAACAACCCTCCCTTATGTTGAAAAAGGGGCTGGGGAGGATGGCGAGGCAGGAACGAGGACGCTGCGCTGCTGCTCGTGCATGGCAAAGTATATAGATGTAGGTTCATTGGAAGCAGCTCTGGGCCGCCATGCAAGGCGGTGAGAGAGAGAGAGAGAAGCACCAAAATGTCCAGATTATATGGTGAAGGGGAAGTCCTTGCCCTGGAAAGTTCAGGGTAGAGAATGGGGTTTGCCAGCCATGCCCAGGAGCAGATAGGGACTGAGGAATGCTGGGAGAACCTGGAGCTGTTTGTCCTGGACCTGAAGCAACTGTTTCAGCCTTTTGTTGGTAATAAATAGTGAAGGAATCAACATCTTTGACTACTTTCTGCTGACGCTGGGGTGGTGACAGGAAAACCAAAAGGCTGAAATGTTGGCCAAGTACAAGAAGAGCTGGCTGTTGTATTTGCTGTCTAGGATCTGGGAACATCTGGCTGAAAGGGAAACTGCAGCTCCAGCTGACACAATCTATGAGTAGCTGCTTTGGTCCTGTTGTGGATTTAGGAAACACCTAGGTCTGGAAGGATACTGGAACATATATATGGGCAGAAGACAAAGTTGTAGGTTAGGGGAAAAATTCCTTTACGTGTACATTTCAAACTTTTGGGAGAATGAGCAGAGACAGAAGGTTTGGAGCGAAGAAACTTAATGGGAACCTCCATTTCCCTGATCATTGGCAGTAATTAAAAAGGTTTCTTTTTTGATTTGTCATCTTAAGGGAAATTGAAGCCAAGTTTGCCAAGTTTGGTTGCAGGACCGTGTAAGCTTAGAAGCCCTTAATGCAGGCACTCTAAAACTCTCCAGAAGACATCCCAGTGAGGAACCTGGAGGAACAGACAAATGACCTGCTCCCATTGGACAGGTAGCAGTCAGTGACCTGTCAAGTTGTCCCAAGAGCAAGGTTTGGCTCAGATTGATATAATTTGTCCCAACAGCTCATCAGCACTGGTTAAATGCCAAGGGCTTAGTTGCCCATAACAGACACAGTTTACCTTGTATCAGGATTTCATAGACATATAGGGGCAGGGGGCAAAACTGTGCTGGTAGAGGGAAATCTCACCCAAGGGACACAAGGTCCTAGATGAAGGGTTTGGATGTAGGTTGGAAGGATGGTAGGAAGCACTGATGCCAACCAGAAGGGGAGACTCACCAATCAGCCAGTGTTGGATGCAGGAATAAAGCGATCAGGTAGCCAGAAAAGGGGTGTCCCAAAACCAGGGAAGGGAGAAGAATCCCACCCTCTAGAATAGGCAAGTAGGTGGGACTTAGCCTGCTGATTGGCAGTACTCACCTGGGTTACATTTGCCCTGAGATGTTGATTCAGGGGTATTTCCTGTAGCTTACGAGAATCCCTTTTTTAAATTTACAAAGGAGGGAGACTTTAGACATGTTAGCATCACCATTGTAATCTGCAGTGAAATAGACATTGTAGAAAAGGCAGTAGCACACACCTTTGTGTTAACAGCATAAGCACTCTCTAAGGTGAACTCTGGAGAGGCAGAAGCCTTCCATGAAGTAGAGGGGTCAAAAGTTCACACGATCTTTAATTTTTAGCATGAGCACACATCATGAAAGAGGGACTTCTTCTCTCTATCCAAAACACTGGATGTATGTAAGTTTAACATAGTGAGAAACAACTTTTAAGTTTACACTTAAAAAAGACAAACCAAAGGAGATTTAGAATCTTGTGCTTGTAACTATGATAGTGGAGTGTATAGTGGAATATTGGTGTTTTTTTTTTTTTTTTTTTTTTTTTTTTTTTTTTATCAGAGTTAGCTTAATGAATCAGAGCTCTAGAGATAAATGTCAGCTCTGGACAGTTAATGCAACAGAAAGAAATATGAAGCATTTTTATCTATTTAAGATATACCTTAAATCACCTGAGACCTTTCAACCTTCAATCACCTCTTTTATTTCAGTAAGTTATTTTATTGATAGAGTTTTTTAATTAATTTATTTATTTGTTACAATTTATTCACTTTGTATCCTGGCTGTAGCCCCTTTCCTCATCTTCTCCCAGTCCCATCCTCCCTCCTTCTTCGTATGCCCCTCCCCTAGTCCACTGATAGGGGAGGGCCTCCTCCCCTACTATCTGACCCTAGCTTATCAGTTCTCTTTGGGACTGGCTGCATCCTCTTCCTAACCTTTTACCGTTCCTTTAGCTAAAGGACAATGAATGCTCACAGCAGTCAAACCTCTGTCTCATAGTACATAGGAAATGTCCTAAGGATATAGAAGTTTAAGTTATGAGG